CGACTGTTGAAAAAAAAAACCGATGGTAACGGTACTAAGGTAGACATTATAACTTCTCTACAGCTAAGAATAACACATTTAGAAGAACAGCTGTATCAGGCTGAAAAAGAAATTACAGAGTTGAACAAAAACTCTGCCTTCTGAATCATGACGCATTTGTGCCTAATACTGCCATTTCGACCTGTAAAAATAGAGATATTAAGCAAGCAGACATTGATGAGATATTAATTTTTGGCACTCAACAATGCACTAACTTGGCGGCAGCATTAACACGTTCTAGACAAAACTCGAAGTATGGAAATTATAGAGTAAAGGTGTTCACGAAACCCTCTGCACCGAGTACCGAAGTACTACGAAATTGCCAAAATCTTCTTCTCAAGCCAAATGATAAACTGGTTATATATGTTGGAGAGAATGATTATGACTTGGAAATACTATATAAGCAGTTACAGAGTTTATTTAAAAAGTATGTAAATAACAACATTATTGTGCTAAATATCTTTAATAATGACTATATCAATTTCACTGACGTATATTATACAATTCAAATGTTATGTAATCGATTTAAAAATTGCCATTTTGTTAAATGTAATAATAACAATTTATTTTCATTATGTAAATCTATAAACTACACTATTGACTGTATTGATTATAATGAAAAATTTTTAAATATAAGAAACTTAAAAAACTTGGTGATAGGCAGTAAACCAAACCTGACATTAAAAATATTATCCGAAAGGGAACAATACCCTACTATTTCCCACCCAAAAAGACTGATATTGACCTGGTTAGATTGAGCCCCGTTGATCCTGTTACACGCCAAAATGTTACATCTAAGAAAAAGGGCACTATCCCACACTACTTTCCCGTAATTAATAAAAATGATTTATTTCGAGGATAAGTTACAATATTTTAAAAAGTTACAATATTTTAATATCATGCATCAAAACATAGCTAGTATATTATCAAAACAATCGCTTAACGTTGTGTGAACTATTTGGGAAAGATAAAATCCCAGAAATAATATGCCTTTCAGAAACTTTTTTAAAAGCTTGTTACAAGAACTATTTAAAAATAAATGGCTATACCTTGGCCGCTGCTTTTTGTAGGGATAAGAATAGAGGTGGTACGTGTATCTTGACAAAAAACAATATTAATTTCACCGAACTCACACACTTACAAACATATGCTATGCAAAAAGTTTTTGAGGTATGTGGCATAGAAATATCTTTTCGCAAGCTAATTGTTATTTGTATTTACAGAACCCCTTTCTCTGACCCTACCATATTTCTAAATAAATTGAGCTATTTACTACATGATTTATCAAAAAAAGTAAAACCAAATTACAACATTGTTATAGTAGGTGATTTTAATATAAATACCTTGAAACCTGGCAGCCTAACATGCCACTCAAAAGATCTTTGCAATAACTATAATTTGAAGCTCCATATCGATATTCCAACTCGGAAAGAGTCGTTCATAGATCACATCCTTAGTAATGTGAAGGACGCTACTGCTCATGTACTGCCTCTCTGTCTGTCGGATCATGAAACAGCGCAACTACTGAGTATTCCGATCCAAAAAAATATTCCTAACACAGAAAAATCCTACTACTCATTCAAAAAAGACTATTCTTTAGAAAATATTAAAAAGTTTAAGGAATGCTTGAATAGCCTCTCTTGGGCTGAAGTATATAGTGAACCTAACTTGAATATAGCCTTCAATAATTTTCATTCGAACTTCAAGTTGTTCTACGATTTGTGTTTTACAACTAAAAAAGTAAAGGTTAATAACTCAAATAAAAACAATCGCATGTGGTTTAGTAAAGGCTTACTAAAAAGTTGTAACACAAAGAGAAAACTCCGATATAACTATTATACACATAAATCAGCAAGCAATAGATAGAAATATTTTACATATTCAAATATCCTAAAAAATGTATAAATAAATCTAAGAGACTTGCAAACATTAAATTTATTCAAAACAGTAATAATAAATGTAAAGCAACGTGGTCTATAATAAAAAATGAAATAGGTATAACACAAAGCGAAGCTTCTGTTGACTATCTAAAAATTGACGACTCCGACATAGCAAACCCGGAAGAAATATCCCAAATATTTAGCAACTACTTTACAAACATCGGAAAAATTATGTAAACAATGCTGAAGGCTCTTATATTACGAACAATTTTAACTTAAGCACAATGTTCCTTAAACCCATGTCAGCAAATGAAGTAAAATTAGAGGTAATGACCTTAAATAAAACCAACTCTGTAGGCTACGATGGCATAAATACACACATATTGAAGTCATGCATTGATAAAATAATTAACATTTTGACTCATTTTGTCAATTTGTCATTCTCATCAGGAAGCTTTCCAGAAACATTAAAGTCCTCCATTGTAAAGCCTATACACAAACGTGGCAACAGAAACGTTGTTAGCAATTATCGCCCAATTACCCTTGTATCTATACTTTCAAAAGTATTTGAAAAGCGTATGTATAAAAGGCTCCTAGAATTTTGCAATAAGTTTAACATTATAAATAAAAATCAATATGGCTTTCAAAAACATAAATCGACTAACTTAGCTGTTCATCACCTAATCAATACATTGTTGACCAATATTAATGATAATTATTTGACTACGGGACTGTTTTTTGACTTGACTAAGGCATTTGACTTCGTATCACACGATCTATTATTAAATAAATTGGAATAAGGGGTATTAAGTTGCAATGGATTGCTTCGTATTTAACAAATCGTACTCAATGTGTCACGATAACAAAACCAATCAATAAAGAATTAAGAACATATAAATCCAACTGCATTGAAAATATTAATTGTGTTCCACAAGGCAGTATCTTAGGGCCCATATTGTTTATATTATATATTTATGACATATCTGATGCGATAAGTCATGAATGTATTACATACGCTGATGACATTTCGGTTATAGTTAGGACTAAAAAAAATAAGAATTCAATATATAATCACGAATTGGACATAAATAATACAATTGATAATATAATTGAATGGCTACAAGCTCACAATTTAAAAATTAACTTGACAAAATCAAATTTTATTCAGTTTAATAAGTCAAAACATAACCAATTCAAGCTAAGCAATTTCAAGCTAAACATTACAAAAATCAATCAAATAGAAGAAACAAAATTTTTAGGTGTTGTCATAGACCAGAATCTGAACTGGAAAGCACATATCGATGAAGTTTGTAATAAAGTAAACAAATGTTGTTACGCGCACAACCAAATAAAAAAAGTGACTGACATAAAAACATCTGTTATGACTTACCGAGCATATGCCGAGTCTATACTCCGTTATGGACTGGTGATGTGGAGAAATAGTTCGGATTGGAATCGGGCTTTTATTGGGCAGAAAAAATGCATTAGGGCAATCTGCGGAGTACGACCCCATGAATCGTGTCAGCCTCTATTTAAAGGTCTTGGGATACTGCCACTACCAACGATATATATTTTAGAAGTTTGTGTTTTTGTGCAGAGACACAAACAATTATTTGAAAAAGCTTGTGAGGTACAGACTACTCGCTCACGTAGGGACCCACACAAGCTAGTACTTAAGGATATACCTAAATCACAAAAATATGGCAAAAGTTGCCTTACCATGTGTGTCCGAATATATAGCAAACTCCCTGACGAACTTAAAACCCTAAATATTACATTGTTCAAAAAGAAATTGTACAAATGGCTGAATGAAAATAATTTATATAGTGTAAAACAATTCTTAGAAAAAAATTAGATTATGTACTGGATAACATTTATTTAAAAAAATCATTTAATTATTGTAATAAATATAAAATAATAAAATATAGTATTGTACAATATATCTTTGATTAAGCTGTGCGACTATTACTAGGTATTGAAATTGACATGTAATTAATTATTATAATATTACTCGTATTTCTCTTTGTTAACTAAAACAGGTGACTACTTCAAATAGTTAAAGAAAATTTGACATTGTTTAAATATATTTGCATGCTATGTAAAATAAGCAAAACATGAGCGCTCGATTTTTACCTGTGAACAACATATATACCATGTTTTACGCAAATAAAGATTATTATTATTATTTATAATTTGGGGCATCTATATAGTTTACTCATCTGGTTGGGCTGTATAAATACATAATTCTAAATGAAAATGATAAACATACATAAATATCAACAAAATAGAATAAATGCATAAAAAATACATAAATAAATAAAAACCCAACTAGATGGAAGCCCTTGGCAGGGGAGACCAAACGGCCGAGGGTTAGGGGGAAAGGGAAAGAAACCGGCGGACGATGCGGGTGGTATCGAGGAGCACCGCCTTCTGAATTTGAGCTTGGAGCGGTCCGTCACGGAGTTCTAGTCGCCTCAGATGACCCGAGAGGCTGACTGGCATTAACCCGTTCGCAGAAACGACTACAGGTATAATTTCGGCCGGCAGACCACCCCACATGTCGGTCACCTCGTGAGCCAGGTTCAGATATTTGGTTCGCTTATCTGTTTCGGCTTTCACGAGGTTCTCGTCATAGGGAATTATTATTATTATTATTTTCTTTTTTTTCTCCTTTTGGGTTCACAACTCTTAGATCGGTTTTTAGCAAGATACAAAGAGGTTGTGTTTTATAGGGCAAGATGCTTCCTCACAATGGCAGTTGTCCTTAGGATAACAGCTTTTTGAATATTGTTCCTAACGGACATTGGTAGGTCTAGTTTAGCAAGATTTTCGTTAAGCTGCTGCGGTATTATTCCTGTAGTTGAAATTATGAGGGGAAGGACTTCTACTTCATCCTGAAGCCACATTTGTCTCACTTCTTCAGCAAGCGGTTGGTATTTTGTCTTTTTTTCCATTATATATTGCTGAATATTATGCGAGTTAGGAACCCCAATGTCTAACAGACAAGCCCGTTTCTCCTTTTTATAAAGAATTATAATATCTGGCCGATTATGGGGGACGGACCGGTCTGTTAGGACTGATCTATCCCAATATACGTTGAATGTTGTCATTTTCCAGCACGGGACTAGGGGAGTATTTCCAGTACGGGTAGTCATCCTTCAATAGATCATATTTTCGGCCCAGTGCTAGATGGATTATTTTGGCGACATCGTTATGACGCTGAGTGTATTCTGATGCAGCAAGAGCCTGGCACGAACCCGTGATATGTTGGATCGTTTCAGATTTCTGATAGCATCGTCTGCATAGGTCATCTTCGACATTTGTTTTGGCTATGTATTTTAGGTAATTTTTTGTCGGAATTACTTGATCCTGTATTGCTATCATAAAACCCTCAGTTTCTGCAAACAGTTCCCCGCGGCGCAACCAACTGGTCGACGCCGCAATATCAACGTGAGGGCCTCTAAGCTCTTGGGCAAACCTTGTTACTGTCATTCATAGGGGGGTATTTGCCATATTTGCCACGCTTGGCGAGCGGGTTGGCAACCGCAGTTTTTTTTATTGTTAGTTTGTTATTATCAAGAAGATGCTGCTGCCCATCTCCTGCCTGTTTCCCTTTGTCGCCTTTTACGACACCCACGGGAGGATATGGGGTAGTGGATATTCTTGACCGCCACTACACGGCAATCCTGATCCTGTAGTGCTATCATAAAACCCTCAGTTCCTGCAAACAGTTCCCCGCGGCGCAACCAACTGGTCGACGCCGCAATATCAACGTGAGGGCCTCTAAGCTCGTGGGCAAACCTTCCATGTAGTGGTTTTGAGGCCCACTGGTTAAGTTTGGCCTTAAGGTATTCGGCATCAGCAACCAAGGGCTCAACTTCTTTAGAATGAAGAAGATCCAGTCGAGTATAGCCATTATCCGCTAAAGTAACTGTTTGGTGTAAGGGAGACGACTCTTTGCTGAGAAAGTAATTTTGCAAGTTTTTTATTAGCTTGGAATAAAGCCGCCTTAGGTCAACGAGACCTCTTCCCCCTTCAGCTCTTGGCAAAGTTACTCGATCAGTAGCGGATTTAGGATGATGGAACCAATATTTTGTCAATAATACACGGGTAGTTCTCTCAATATTCCCGATATCGGTGTCTGTCCATTTTACAATTCCGAAGGTGTAAGTTATTGTTGGCATTGCGAAAGTGTTGATTGCCTTGAAGATGTTTTTGCTCTTAAGAACCGTTCCGAGAATTTCTTTGAGCCTACGGTAGTATTCTTTACATATCCGAGATTTTATTTCCTTGTGGTCGATTCGAAGAGTTTGGAGTAAACCAAGATATTTGTAATTGTCATCTTTAGCCATCGCATCAATTATACCACCATCCTGAAGGTCGTAGCCTTCTGCCTTTTTGACCTTTCCCCTATCAAGACTTAAAGTACGACACTTTTCCAGGCCAAAAGACATTTTAATGTCATTCGAGAACTGCTCAGTACTTTGCAGTAAGCCTCTAAGTTCACTAGCATTAGCAGCGTACAACTTTATGTCGTCCATGTACAAAAGATGGTTAAGTTTGAACTCTATCCCAGTACTGCCCTTAATGAGAAACCCGTAACCTGTATTGTTTAATATTGCAGATAACGGATTCAGAGCAAGACAAAACCAGAGGGGACTTAAACTGTCACCCTGAAAAATTCCTCGACGTATGTGAATGTAGTTCGTTTTGATGTTATAACCCTTTAAACTAAGAGAAAGTTCAGTACGCCAATACGACATAATATGTTTAAGCAATGCTGCTACCTTAGGATGGATCTTATACATATTAAGGACTTGTATCAACCAGGAGTGCGGCACGGAGTCAAAAGCCTTGCGATAGTCAATATATGCCACGTGGATATTTCTAGATTTGTGGTATGCTTGCTCTGTGACCACAGAATCTACTATAAGTTGTTCTTTACAGCCTTGCGACTTCTTTATACACCCCTTTTGCTCAATAGCTAGTATCGGCTGTAGGTCTAAGTGCTCATAAATTTTCGCTGTCAAATATCATGTCAGGGTTTTATAAAGTGTACAGAGGCAGGTAATAGGTCGGTACTTTGTGGGGTTAGCAATATCATCATCCTTTGGCAGCAGATATGTAATACCGGTGGAAAGATATGGAGGGAAAGCCTCAGGACTTTGAAGGAAAGAATTGAAGCACTTTGATAGAAGGTCGTGTAAGGTAGTGAATTTTTTGATCCAGTAGTTATGAATACCATCGGGACCGGCAGCCTTCCAGTTATGCATTTTAATCACTGATTTTGTGACATCATCCACTGTAAAGCTCACAGATTCCATTGGGATGGTGTTAGTCAGGCGCTCGTCTTCCAGACTAATCCAGCTAACATCTTTGCGGTGTCTCACACTTTCAGACCAGATTCCTTTCTATAAGTCTTCTATATTCTTTAGGGAGAGAGGCTGAGTGTTACTCAAGTTATTACTGGGATTCGATCGGAGTCGCCTATAAAATTTATTTTCACTGCGATCAAAGATAGCGTTGTCTATTTTTCTTTTTTGTGATGCACGATATCTCCTAAGCCGATTAGCCTTGACAGCTAACTTCTGTTTTAATGTGTCCAATATCTCCTCAGGAGTTATTTATATTAGTTATTATTGTTGTTGGGGTATCTATAACGTTTTCTCATCTGGTTGGGCAGTATAAATATATAATTGTAAATGAAAATGGTAAACATACATAAATATGAATAAAATAAAATAAATACATAAAAAATACATAAATATATAAAAACCCAACCAGACGGAAGCCCTCGGCAGGGGAGACCAGACGGCCGAGGGTTAGGGGGAAAGGGAAAGAAACCGGCGGACGATGCGGGCGGTATCGAGGAGCACCGCCTTCTGCATTTGAGCCTGGAGCGGTCCGTCACGGAGTCCCAGTCACCTCAGATGACCCGGTAGGCTGACTGGGATTAACCCGTTCGCAGAAACGATCACAGGAATAATTTCGGTCGGCAGACCACCCCACATACCGGTACCTCATGAGCCAGGTCCAGATATTTTGTCACCTTATCTGTTTCGGCTTTCACGAGGTTCTCGTCATAAGGAATGGTAATGTCGACCAAAAAGATCCTTGACTGTGCCCGGTCCATCAGCACAATATCAGGCTTATTCGAAAGAATAGTCCTGTCTGTGATGATGGCCCGGTCCCAGTAGAACCTGGCGCGGTCATTTTCGAGCACGGCTTCCGGCAAGTACTTATAATACGGCAGTTTCCGATCCACGAGGCCGTATTTCAGAGCGAGCTCCTGGTGTAGAATCCTGGCTACTAGATTGTGTCTGTGCAAATACTCAGAGTTAGAAAGCGCCAAATAACCGGAGATGACATGCCTAAGTGACTCACCGGGATGGCGACAAGCTCGACAGACGTCGACGGTGCCATCCTTTAGGATGTATCTCCGATAATTGTTGGTCTTAATAACCTGATCCTGTATCGCACAGACAAAACCCTCGGTTTCCCCAAAGAGGTCACCGAAACGTAGCCAGTGAAGGGAGGCGACTGTGTCTACGAAAGGCTCATGTAGAGCCTTGTAGAACCTCCCGTGGAGCTCCTTCTCCTTCCATACGGCCTCCCGGTTGGAAATGCACTGTACTGCTGGGTCTTGCCATTGCTCGTTGACTAAGGATAGAGGGGTCAGTTCTTTATCACAAGAAATAACGTCCCTATAGTATGGATCATCCGCTCTCGTCAGAAAGTAATTACGGAGGCTGCACACTTCGCGATTATGCATGGTAAGCGCGCTTAAAAAGCCGCGCCCACCATGCTTCCGCGGCAAGTACAGCCTCATTACTGACGATCTCGGATGATGCATCCTGTGGGACATCATTATAGTGCGGACTTTTCTGTCCAGAGCGTTTAGTTCGGTCTGAGTCCACCTAAGTATGCCAAAGGTATATATGAGAATAGGCATGACCCAACCGTTATATGCGTGCGTCTTATTCACACCGGACAAAAGGCTGTTAAGCACTTTGGTCAAACGTGCATAAAACACATCGCAAACTGACTGTTTCATACCCGCCTCATCAACACCGATGTTCTGTGATATACCCAGGTATCGGTATGTTTCAGCCTCGGAAAGGGTTCTTATGTTGATGGGCATAGATAAATCTATGCCCTCAGAGTTAGCAACCCTTCCCCTTTCAACAAGAAGGACCGCACACTTATCCGTCCCCAGCCCCATTCCAATAGAATTGCTAAAATCACAAGTGATGTTTAGCAATTCCACAAGATGAGAGCGACTGGAGGCGAATAACTTGAGATCATCCATATAGAAAAGGTGGGTCACTTTTGTACCTCCCCTCCGAAGCTGAAATCCCCTCCCGCAGCCCTCCAGTAAGGTACTGAGAGGGTTCAGAGAGAGGCAGAACCAGATTGGACTCAGACAATCGCCCTGGAAGATACCCCTTCTTATCCTTATGTGGTTCTCTGCAGCCGTCATTCGCTTGCCTAGATGACAAAGGATCGTACTCCACTGCCCCATACACTGCCCGAGGAAGTCTCTAACTGTACAGTCAACCTTGTACAGCTCGAGGACCCTCTTCAGCCATGTATGAGGCACCGAGTCGAATGCCTTTTTGTAGTCTATCCAGGCGGCGGATAGGTTCCGACGGTTGCGTTTAACCACTTTGCCAATGACCGCGTCAATGAGGAGTGGTTCCTTGGTTCTACGACCACCGCCCCGATATCCATTTTGAGCGCGCGACATCACCTGATTTGAGTTCAGGTGACGAGTGATTCTCGCGCTCAAAATGGATGTTAGTGTCTTATATATCGTGGGTAGACACGTGATGGGGCGGTATTTGCTCGGGTCTATGGTATCCCGGTCTTTAGGAACCAAATGAGTGATCCCAGTAGTGAAGAGGCTCGGGAGCGACTTTTGGTCGAGAGCCTCTTGAAATTGTTGGGCGAGCACAGCGTGACACACCACGAACCCCTTCAGCCAGTAGTGATGCAGCCCGTCGAGCCCCGGACTTTTCCAGTTCGGGGCCCTTCGGACCGCCTCAGCTACATCGTCCGGCGTTATAATGACGGGGTCCATGGGACTCACCACAACTTCCGTCCAAGGGCCCTCGCTGTGCTTTACGGGCTCTGACCACAGGCCGCGCCAGAATGCGACAGTGTCGGCCTGATTCGGTGCTTGGCTCGTTCCACGTACCATTGGTCGCTCCAATGATTTATATAGCCTCTTCTGATCACTCTGGAAGAGACGATTCTGGTTGAACCGTGTCGACCTCTCGGTATATCGCCGAATCCGCTTCCCCCAAGCAGCGATTCTCTGCTTCAGGTCGTCTATGCGCTCCGTCAGCTTTTGCGTAATATCCGGCTGGGACAAACTGATATTTGTCCCAGCAAACGCCATTCTGACGGTGCGCACAATTCGCGGCCTATTATTGCCCGACCTGAAGCTTATCAGCCTGCCGATGAGGGCCCTTGCCTTTACAATACGGTCCTCAATCCTTCTTCTCCAGGCTGGGGTGGCGCTACTTTGTCTAGTAGCGCGTCCAGCCGTGGGAAGTTTGGCGGCAACAATACGGCAAACTGCCAGTGCGGCGCCAAAAAGAATTGAGTCCGTCTCGCAAAGGTCCCGGCTGGCTTCCAAATAGGTCACCAGCATTGGGTTGAGAGCCCTCACGACCTCCGCTTGCTTAGGGGTATGCGCGGGAGTCGCGGTCGATTTTCGAGAGGCGTACTGCGCGTTTCCACAATCGCCTCCTCCAATTTACTCCTCATCTGCTCTAGTTCTTGGGTGACCATTCCATCATCGCCTGAATCAACCAAAGCAGGGAGATCCATAGCGCCCTCTATATGTGGCTGCTGGTCTGTGGCCTGAAGAACCGCATCCCCAGCTATAGCCGGTTCATTCGATGAGGGAATAGCCTCACGTCGTAGTCGTTCGAGTTCGGCATCATCAAATATTTTCGAGCGTATGATGTACCGAACTTGGTCTGCCAGGTTTTGCTCCGTGACGGGAACTGACGGCTCAAGCTCAGCAAAAAAGCGATGCATCCGAGCCCGATACGCTATCCCTCCAGTTTCTTCCCCTTTCGCCCTATAGTACGCCCGCAATGCGTTTATGTTCATATTTTTGTCCAACGCATGCGGCGTACTCCACCAGCGAGAGGACCCCGCCGACACCAAGCCATCTGGTGGGGATGATGGACGCGAGGGGCTGCTAGGTGGTCGTGCAGCACCTCGCGCTCGGCTGGCGGCTCGCATGCTGTCACGTCCAGCGCCAGCTCCAGACGCGCCCCGGCGACCCCCAGGCAGCGGCCCTATGCGCGCTCTATTATTTTCCATCATCCATTAAATTGGGCGTCAATTAACGGGAGACGCCCAGACCCGGCGCTGTTTAATAGTGTGGCCGTAAGCACAAACAGGCCTTTGCACCCTCAATACTGCCGAGGCACGGCGCTCACACCTCATGGCAAGGCACTGACTGACTGCGCTGACATAGCAGTTTTGTCTCTTAACTGTTACGTCAGCGGGCGATGGGGTCGTCACTTCCCTACGCCTTTTATTATTTATTATTATTATTATTATGTGGTATCTATATAGTTTTCTCATCTGATTGGGAAATATAAATACATAATTGTAAATAATCATGGTAAACGTACATAAATATCAATTAAATTAAATAAATACATAAAAAATACATAATCATTATCATCATCATCATCATTACAGCCCTTCACAAGTCCACTGCTGAACATAGGCCTCCCCC